TCCATGAGGCCCTGCGGAGGGAATGGCTGTTTGCCAGTCCTCTATTCTCTGGTTCAGGGTTGGAGACCCTCAGGCTTGTCCTTGGTATGCTGGTGAGGGACCGGGGGGGACCTGAGTCCACAAGTGTCACAGCAGCCTCCTTCTCTGTCTACCTCTTCTCTCCTCTTTCTTTGAACCAGGCCACTCTGGCTGCAGAGATGCCCAGCCCTGACTCCCCAAGTGCCCCACTTTCAAGGGGCTCGGGACCTGCTGCCATCTGGGACCTTCCTCTTCCCCCCACCCCCACCCTGTGGCTCTCCAGGGAGCTCTCTTGCTCTTGGCAGTTACAGAGGGATGGAGGAGCCATCTCTCCACAGCCAGCTGGTCATAAGCCCCAGAGGCCAGACCTCTGTGCTCACACTCTTGTCCCCACCCTGGAAAGGTCAGGTGCCCAGCAAATGCCCAGGGCCTCTGAAGGGTCCAGCCCCAGCTGAGAGACACTGATAGAAACCAGACCTCGCTTCTCTCCACTGCTCCATGGCTGCTGGGTAGTTCTGGAGCTTGGCTTTCTTGGGATGGGGCTTAGGTCTGTGGGTGGCAGGTGGGCCAGCCCCTCAATGTGGGGCCGCAGGGAGGGGAGAGAGGGAGGGAGGTTCCATGTTTACCTGCCCGGGGAGGAAATGCCTTGTTGGAGGAAGGTACTGTGGGCTCAGCAGATGGGTCCTTTGCCAGCCAGCAGGACCAGTTCAGCCTGGTCCCAAAGGATCTGGAGTGGCCTAGATTCCTACACGCTGAAGCCCCCTCCCCCAAATGCTGTGTCTCTTTGTCTTTGCCTGGCTGCAGCCCTATGGTGGGCTGGCTGAGATGGTGTTGTTCCATCCCCCAGCTGAGGACAGTGAGTAGGCTTGTAATAGGACCTGGAATAGGCTGCAAACCAGCTTGGGCCTCCTTCTGGAGAGCACTGGGGTCCTGCAGGTGGGATGGGGCCCTGGCTGCCTGGAGGGGGAGGCCTTCAGGGGCTGAAGCCTCAAAGCCTGTGTAGTGAACTGGCTCAGGCAGCTTAGTTGGGACGACCAGATCCCAGATATCTGTCCCAGACCTTGCCACTCAGTGTCCCCAAGGAGATTCAGGCCAGTCGACCCCACGGAATCCTCTGGTTCCAGGCCCTCAGGCTGTTTTGGGTAGCAGACGGGTGGACCCAGTGGCTGGGGCCTGAGCTGCCGCCGCTTGGTCTTCCCCACCTTCCTGCCCCGCATCCTGTTTTCTTCCTGCCCCATCGTCCAGCCCTGGGCCAGGCCTGACCCCGGTCCTGAGGCCAGCAGCTTTGGCTATATTTCCTGACCCTTTTCCAGGGCTCTGGGGCCCTGGAGAGGGGCATCTCTGTACCTGGGACCCTCTCCCAGATCCTGCCTGTTTGGAGCTTCTCTGTTGCAGGTCTGATGAGACCTGGGGGTGTATGTTTACATGTGTGCAGACGTATGTGCATGTGAATGCCATGATGACACAGTCCTCCAGAACAGGTCACCCTTAGTAAGCTAGAAAACTGCTGGTCCTTTCCCGCCCCCTCCACCGCAGAGTTAAAAGCTGGTCCCCCAGGCTTGAGCAAGGGGTCTGGCCTGGGCTGAGTCCTGGCAAAGTTGGGTTAAGAATATCTGGTTTCCCACTAGGGAAGCTCAGTCCCTGTGCCCTTAGCAGCAGGGCCTTGCCCAGCTCCAGCAAAAATAATCTTTTCAAATAAACTAGCTTGGATTTTAGAAGCTTCCTTGGGTTGGGAGAAGGGTAGCTGGGATTACTGAGATAGGAGCTGAGCCATGTTCCTCTCATCAGAAGCCTAAGGGACCCCAGTGACCCTGGCTAATGACTGTAGCCTCAGGCTAGCCAGTGTGGTCAGGTAATGGTTACCAAATCCAGATGTCCAAGCCACAGTGGGACCAGGAGAGGAGGCCCAAGTTGAGGAAAGGAAGAGACAAAAGTTCTGTTCCTGAAGTTCAAGGCCAGCTTCCATAGCCGGGATATTTCCTCTGGGGCCTCCTAAGTCTCTCTTCTCATTTTGAATTCAGTCCCCAGGTGATGCTTCCCTGATGGACTAGGTCAGAGGTCATGATCACTTGGTGCTCAGATGGGTTCCTTTCTCTTTAAGGGCATAGTGGCTTCCTAAGAGGTGGGAAGAGTGTCAGGGATGGCAGCTTCCCGGAGGTGTTCCCAGATGCAGGGAGCTCTGTGGGTTTTCTGGGATATCCTTCCCCACCCCGCCCTGGCCCCAGGCCACCCAGACTGTGGTGTTATGCCTCTGCACCCTGGTGGGTGCCACAGGGCTATCCTGGGGGCATAGTGGCTTCCTAAGAGGTGGGAAGAGTGTCAGGGATGGCAGCTTCCCGGAGGTGTTCCCAGATGCAGGGAGCTCTGTGGGTTTTCTGAGATATCCTTCCCCACCCCGCCCTGGCCCTAGGCCACCCAGACTGTGGTGTTATGCCTCTGCACCCTGGTGGGTGCCACAGGGCTATCCTGGCTAAGGGTATGAGGGCCAGCAAACCCCAGCCCCAGGGCCTTATCTTTGGCCTTTGTCTTCCCCCAGCTAACTCACTCTACCAGTTCTGGGACTGAGCGGGCTCTCATGCCAGGCCTGTCCTGCATGGCCACAAGATACCCAGTAGCTCCCTGGGGTGGAGTGGAGGATGTTTGCTCGGGGAGTGGTCCAGGGTGTGACTGGACCTTGGTGAGGTGTGTGACCCCAGCCCTGAGTTTGGACAGCCTCACCGGCTCTCCCCTGCCCAGTGCCCAGGCTGAAGGGGTCTCCAGGGCTGATCACAACTTCAGCTGAGCAAATATTGGCTGAGCATCTGCCATATGCCTCAACTGCAAGGTCGGGGAAGAAGGGCTGGCTGGGAGTGGCTTTGAGGCCAGTACACCTGGCCCTGCGGAGTCAGGGACTATGATGAGGGGTGGTGGAGGCTCGAGGTTCCCAGATGGGAGCAAGCCCATCAGTCTCTGGGACACTTCTCAAAATAAGTGGCTTCAGAGAATAGAGTTTTTTTTTTTTTTTGACAAAATAGATGAGGGGACTTCAAAAAGTTCATGGAAGGATTGTATTATCTTTTAATTCAGTTTTTCCATGGGGCTGGCCAGTTGGCTTAGTTGGTTAGAGCATAGCCTTGTAACACCAAGGTCAAGGGTTTGGATCCCTGAAGCGGTCACCTGCCAAAAAAAAAAAATTTTTTTTTCCCATGAACATTTTGATGTGTTCTCATATATTTTTCTGATGATAAGAGTAATGCCTGTAAAGTACAGGCTTGTGGGATGGCAGGGCTCTTGGGCTTTACTTAAGGTTTTTTTTTTTTTCTTGGGCAGCTGGTGGGTAAGGGATCCAAACCCTTGACCTTGGTGTTACTGACATTATGCTCTAACCAACTGAGCTAACAGGCCAGCCCCAATCCTAAGATTTCAGAGAAGAGAAAATGCTGTGTTGTTTGGAGCAACCAGGGACAACTTCTTGCAGGAAGTGATATTCAGGAGGAGGACCGGGTGGGGCCTGAGAGAGGGTAAGCGTGTCTTGGACACCTGACTCTTCAACAGATGAGTATTAAAAAGGAAAAAATAGTAATATGTGCTCTTACAGAAGAATATAAAGAAGAAAATAAAACCACCAAGAGAGATAATTGCTGTTAACATTCTGGTTCATTTTCTTGTAGTCTTTTATTCATACATAATTTAACAGAAAATTGTGATCATCCCATGGGTAGTTTTACAGCTTGTCTTTTTCTCCACCTGTCATTGTACCATGAGCATTCTCCATTCATTAATATTCTTAAAAAATGTGGGCCGGCCCGGTGGCGCACTGCTACAGTGCACCGCTTGGGAGCATGGCGGCGCTCCCGCCGAGGGTTCGGATCCCACATACAGACCGGCCACTCACTGGCTGAGCGAGGTGCGGGCACAACACCGTGGGTTGCAATCCCGTTGCCGGTCCCAGTCCGGTACGGGCGCGACACTGAGGGTTGCGATCCGTTTCCGGTCACGAAAAAAGACAAAAAAAAGGAAAAAAAAAAAAAAATCTTAAAAAATGTGGTTTTGATGACTGCATAATATTCCATTATATGAATGTGCCTTAACTTTTTAAACATTCCCCAACTGTTTATTTATGTGGATTCCAACTTTTTGCTGTTATCAACAATAACTGTTATCAACAGTAAATAGCCTCATACGTGCACATCTCTAATCATTTCCTTAGGAGAGATTTCTCGAAGTAAAATTTATGATTCGAATTAATTGCCTTTGTTGCCTGTATGACTGCCTATATGATTCAAAGGGAAAAGGTGTTTTTAACACACATTGCCTCAATAGGACAGGTGGGACTTTAGAATGTGTGTTGGAAGGGGCGAGAGGGTATGCTGGGAAGAGGGGACAGCCTGGGTGAAGGCATGAGAGAGCAGGGTCGTGTCATAGGGTTAGTAAATACAGGTGTGTGTGCACGTGCATACATGTGAACATGTGTGTGCATGTCCGCATGCGTGTAAGGCATGTTTAAGTAAGATCTTGGTTGTCTGGCTGAGGTTTGGACTTAATTTGGCAGGCGATCGGGAGCCCTGAGGGCCTTTGTGCAACGGAGCAATGCCTTTGGTGCTGTGTTTTGGCACATGGGTTGGGGGCAGCGTAGAGGCAGCACTGAGAGTTGACCTAGTGTCGTGGCCTGTGAATGTGTCCAGGTGGAGAGGTCAGCCCGCCCTGCCAGAGTAAGATGGTGACTTAGCTGAGGTCACACAGGCCCACAGGGACTGGGTTGGGCTTTGGCTGCTGGACTCAGTGCCCAGCGGACCCTGATCACACACACGGAGTATCCCCAGCCTGACTTGTGGTGGCTGAAGGATGTTCCCCACCCACGTGGGAAGGCTCCCGGGAACCAGCTGGAATGGAGTAGGGGGGCCGTAGCTTCCTCTCAGGGCCTATCCTGGCCACAGGTCAGGTAAACTTGGGGCCTGTTGGCAAGGAATTGTGTAACTGTGGACACTGGGTTCCCCCACAGCCCGTGGAAGCCACTGATGATGCCTTTTGGGACCAGTTCTGGGCAGATACGGCCACCTCGGTGCAGGATGTCTTTGCACTGGTGCCAGCAGCAGAGATCCGGGCTGTGCGGGAAGAGTCACCCTCCAACCTGGCCACCCTGTGCTACAAGGTGAGGGGTGCCCAGCCTCTCACTGCCACTCACAGCCGAGCCATCTTCCACCCTCCCCAGGGTGGCTGAAGATGGCCCAGCTGCGGTGCGAGAGGGCAGGCACCCAGGCCGTCCCACCCAGGTCCGGGCAGTGCTGAGACTTCACCCGCTTCTCCCCTCCCCCTCCCACGGAAGTTCTCCCCACTGGGGAAAGGATCACGAGGCTCCTCTGGGCCAGACTTGCTGAGCACCTTCCACAGATCAGCTCATTTAGCTCACCCGTGAGGTGGGTACTGTTAGAGTTGCCATTTTACAGAGGAGGAAACTGAGGCTGAGGCAGGTGTGTGGGCCATCGAGTGGTGAGCTGGACTCCAGCTCCCCTGATGCTCTAGGCTACTCTTGCCCATGATCTGGGCTAGTGGCCCCACTGTCTCTCCCCCTTTGTGGCCTGCATGCCCACCCTGACCCCCTGTGCCACTGCCCACCCTTCCAGCATGCCCCTCTGCTCCTGCTGTCCCCACAGGCCGTGGAGAAGCTGGTGCAGGGAGCCGAGAGCGGCTGCCACTCGGAGAAGGAGAAGCAGATTGTCCTGAACTGTAGCCGGCTGCTCACCCGCGTGCTGCCCTACATCTTTGAGGACCCTGACTGGAGGGGCTTCTTCTGGTCCACAGTGCCTGGGGCAGGGCGAGGAGGGGTCTGTGGGCCTGGCCAGGGCTGGGGGGGGGAGGTGGAGTCTGCGGGACAGGGACAGCACCCTTTCAGGGCCAGCCACATTCCCCCAAACCTCTTCTGGGATCTGGGAGTCTCAGGGGTAGGGGGAGTGGGGGTTGCTGCTGAGAGATCAGGATCAAGGCCACCTCCTTGGGCCTTTGGATCCTCCCACGGGGGTCTCTGCCTCCACAGCCGGGAGGAGCTAGGCTGTTGAGAGAAGCTGAGAGCTGGGGCTGGCTGGGCAGAGATGGACGCAGGGCAGCTGGGCCTTTTGAGTGCCCAACAGGGACTGTACTGTGCTCTTTCCCCTGCCCCTCCTGCTCTGGGTCTATCTCCAGGCAAGGTGCCGAGGGGTGGCATCCATGGATTCCCAGCAGGGCAGGGGCTCTTGACGCTGGGGGACACCGCCTGTCCCCGCATCGCCAGTCAGTGGGGAGGTTTCCTTGCTGTTCCTGGGCTGCTCCCTGCTCTGCCCCCTTCTGCCTCGGGAGGTTTGGGGTGACCAGGAGTCCACTTCCTCCTCTTTCATCCCTCTGTGCATGGTGCCTGTCTGGGCACAGTCCCATCCTCCACCACTCCCCCAGCCCTGAGCCCCCCTCTCCTTGGCCGGTCACCACTGAGGTGGCCCGTGGGTGCTGTGTCCCCAGCAGGGAGAGGACGATGATGAGAACGCCCGTCCCCTGGCCGAGTCCCTGCTCCTGGCCATCGCTGACTTGCTCTTTTGCCCAGACTTCACGGTCCAGAGCCACCGGAGGAGCACTGTGGTGAGAGACCCCCACCCCCTGGCCAGGGCGGGCTCCGGTCCCAGGTTGGGGCTGGGCCAGTTAAGGTTCCCTTGGGCCGGATGCTGCTGGGGCCAGGGGTGCTCGGGGAGAGCTGAGCTGCCTGGCACGCATGGTCCCCGGTTGGGGGCAGTGGCTGGTACAGCTGGAGGGCAGCCAGCTGGTGCCCGGCCCTGCCTGCTGTATCCGGGTGGCTGGTCACAGGCACCCATTGTCTTTGCTTGCTTGAGGTGGGTGGGAGTGTGGGGCCTGGACACGGGAGGCCTGGCCCTCTCACTTCCTGGGGCTCATGGACTTGGCCTTGGGTGTTCTCTGCCACCAGATGCACCAATTCCCTGCCCCTCTGTCCCTCTCTCTCTCCTTGTCTTAAACTGGACTGAACAAGTAAAAGAACCAGTGTAAGACTGAAGAAAAATGAGCTTCCTAGATGTCTAAGAACATTCATTTCTTCCCTTGTACGTTAGGACCTGGTGCATCTTGAGTGTCTGTCTTTAGGAGAATATGAAGATGTCCACCCCCAGGGATGGTGGGAGGCTTGGGCTGGCCGGCTTCTGTCCCACGCTGCTGTTCACCTTGCAACCCCCAATCTGATCTCTCCCCGGCCCTGTCCCCAGGACTCTGCAGAGGATGTTCACTCCCTGGACAGCTGTGAATACATCTGGGAGGCCGGTGTGGGCTTCGCTCACTCTCCCCAGCCTAACTACATCCATGACATGAACCGGTGAGCTTTGCTCAGGCCCAGAGCCCTCGGCACAGCCGGACCCCGTGCTTGGCCCCTGCACAGCTCAGAGAGAGGCCTGCGGGGTCTTCCAAGGAGACTCTCCTCACATGCGACCCAACCTTAGCCTTACTGGGATCAACAGGGATTATTTCTTTCCATGGACCTGGGCTGGGCTGCTGGGCAGAGTGGGCAGCAACCGAGATACCCTCCACCTCTCACCCCCCGCCCCCCAAGGATGGAGCTGCTGAAACTGCTGCTGACGTGCTTCTCTGAGGCCATGTACCTGCCCCCAGCTCCGGAAAGTGGCAGCACCAACCCATGGGTGCAGTTCTTCTGTTCCACGGAGAACAGGTGAGGGGCGCCTGGCCTTTCCTTCCACGCTCTTCTTGTTGGGGCAACTCTGAGCTGAGACCGCTCCCCAGCCCTTGAGTCTTCTTTGAGTGGAGGTGCTGCCCCCTGGTGGTGACGACTGTACCTGAACAGCCACACCTTAAACCAGCGCTGTCCAGCATCCCCGTGGACTCCCCCGGCCAGGAACTGGGGTCCCCTGGGTGACCCGTGCCTTCCTCCATCTAGAGTTGCGCTGTCTGGTAGAAATACAGAGAAAACCACTTTTTTTGAGCCTGGTCGGTACAGGGATCTGAACCCTTGACCTGGGTGTTCTCAGCACTAATGAGCTAACTGGCCAGCCCCACACATGTGCAATTTCAAAATTAAAAAAGAAACAGGTAAAAATAATTTCAATAATATATTTCACTTAACTCAATATTTCCAAAATATGAGCATTTAACATGTAATCTAGGGCCGGCCCGTGGCTCACTCGGGAGAGTGCGGTGCTGATAACACCAAGGCCCCAGGTTCGGATCCCATATAGGGATGGCCGGTTCGCTCACTGGCTGAGCGTGGTGCTGACAACACCAAGTCAAGGGTTAAGATCCCCTTACCGGTCATCTTTAAAAAAAAAAACAACATGTAATCTATATACAAAATTATTGAGATGTTTTACATTCCCTTTTCCATACTAAGTTTTCAGAATCTAGTGTGTATTTTACACTTCCTGCACATCTCAGTTCGGACCGGCCACATTCCAAGTGCTCAATAACTAACTACACGTGGCTTGTGGCTGTCATGTGGGACAGCAGAATTTAGGCAGTAGGGTGGGTTGGGGTGTGACAAATACCCCGGAGGATGGGAAGCCTGGCCCACACGGGGGCGCTCGTGGACTATAGGAGCACATATGATTACATGGAGATATCACACAAGCCACGTAGCAAGATGGAGTATTTGGAGCAGGTACACTCGCTCCAGCTGTGCAACCCCAGCTGTGCCCAGGGCTGCGCTGGCAGCACAGGGGTTACTGTGCCTAAGGGTGTGGTTGGCCCTCTTGCTTCCAGACTCTGGTCCCTACATGGCATACCTCATCCATCAGGTTTTTTTTTTTTTAAAGATGACCGGTAAGGGGATCTTAACCCTTGACTCGGTGTTGTCAGCACCACGCTCTCCCAAGTGAGCGAACCGGCCATCCCTATATAGGGATTTGAACCCATGGCCTGGGTGTTATCAGCACCACACTCTCCCAAGTGAGTGAACCGGCCATCCCTATATAGGGATTTGAACCCGTGGCCTGGGTGTTATCAGCACCACACTCTCCCAAGTGAGTGAACCAGCCATCCCTATATAGGGATTTGAACCCGTGGCCTGGGTGTTATCAGCACCACACTCTCCCGAGTGAGCCACGGGCCGGCCCTATCCATCAGGTTTTGCAGGCCTTCTGCCCAACCTTTTTTTTTTCCCCCAGAAGAGAAGGGAACCAGGTGACATCCCCTCCTCCCAGCCATAGTCAAAGGCTGGCCCGAGTTTTCTTTCTCACCAGCCTTATCAGGCAAACTGCCACCTCTTGTCACTCACTTAACCTCTCTGGGTCTCAGTTTCCTCGCCCGTAAGATGAGGCGCTTGAACCTTGACATCTTACGAATCTGAATTGAGTTGTTCTGTGGCTTGGGAGCTGGGTGATGGAACCCAGGCTCTGATCCCCGAGGGGGAGCCTGCCTTCTCTGTGGGCCCCTAACCCCTTCTCTAAAGCACCAAGGGAGGGTATCTGCCCTTTAAGAGCCTCAGGGGTGTGGACATGGTTCCCTACGAAGAGCCCCCCATGACTGACTGTTCCATTCTTGGTAATGCATTCCTTCTGTCCTTGGCCCAGCCTGGCCCAGGGCAGAGCCTGATGCGGGCATGGACGAGGAGGGGTCTTTCCTACTCAGGAAGCTTGTGGTTCTGCTCCCTGACCCCCAGCCCAGGGCCTGACACTGGTGCTTGTTGAATGAGGAGGTGGCGTGGCTGACCCTCCCATGAGGCAGGAGCAGGTGGCCGGATGGCTGGGCCTGGGGTGGCAGGGTCTCTGCAGCTCCGCCCCCTCTCTCCTGCCGTAGACACGCCCTGCCCCTCTTCACTTCCCTCCTTAACACCGTGTGTGCCTATGACCCTGTGGGCTACGGGATCCCCTACAACCACCTGCTCTTCTCTGACTACCGGGAACCCCTGGTGGAGGAGGCTGCCCAGGTGCTCATTGTCACCTTGGACCACGACAGCGCCACCAGCACCAGCCCCACTGTGGATGGTACCACCACAGGCACTGCTATGGACGATGCTGATGTAAGGACAGGAGGGGGGAGAGGGCAGTCAGCCCTGCTAGGGCTGTGGGTGGGTGGCATCCCCTCTAGCAGAGGCCCTGGGCAAGAGATACCCAGTAGGTACCTCGTGACGTGCCTGGGGGTGTCTGACCATGGAAGGGGCACTGCTGCTGCCATCCAGACCTGGGGTGGGGGTGGGGGGTGAGGGTACCTGTCTACCACAGGCTTCTACCCTTGGCAGCCTCCAGGGCCCGAGAACCTGTTTGTGAACTACCTGTCCCGCATCCATCGTGAGGAGGTAAGTCAAGCACGGCTCTCAGATTCTCACTCCCCACTCCCCACAATGGTTAGGGTTTGGGGAAGGTAGAGGGGGTCCTGACCCCTGCATGAAGGAACCCCAGTCTCTATGGACTTGGGCCACCTAGATGAAATAGGGATGACAGGACTGTGGGGGTTTCGAGATGCAGAAAGGGCTGATGGCCCCAAGTGGGTGGGGGTAACCAGGAAGGCTTCCAGGAGGTGGCAGTTCTGATATAGTTTGGGGAGGGGGATGGACAGTGGACTTAAAGGCCAGGCAGACCCAAGTTCATGTGTCTCGTGACCTTGGGGGAGGTGCTGTAACCTCTGCAGCTGTAAAGTGGGGACCACAGCTGCTTCCTCACCTGGCGAGGAGTAAAGCGAGTGCAGCCGCACTCCTAGTAGGGGCTCAGCAAGCGACAGCTCTTTGAGAACAGCAGAATGAGTGCTCCTCAGTGTGACGGGGTGATGGGGAGGAGTGTTCTGGGGAGGGGCAAAAGATGGCAGCTGTTAACAGTGAGTCCAGGTGGGCAGGGGTCCTGTTCAGGGAGTGTGCGTGTGTGTGTGTGGGGGGTCACCAGGAACAGCAGCCTTGCTCAGGGTGGACAGCCCAGGGATGGGGGGGCACTGTGGTCTGGGGAAGGGCACGGGGCTCTCCAGACCTGCCCTGGACTCAGCTTCCCAAGGGAGCTGCTCCAGCACAGCTATTGATGGTGTCAGAATCCTGGCCCCTCAAGTTCTGGAGGTGGGATTGGTCTCTGGGAGACTGAGGAGGCATTTGTGGGGCACCTGGGCTGGGAAGCCAGAGCCTCAGGAGCCAGGCTGGACAGGCCCCCTGCTCTGCCCTCCCTCCCAGGACTTCCAGTTCATTCTCAAGGGCATAGCCCGGCTGCTGTCCAACCCCCTGCTCCAGACCTACCTGCCCAACTCCACCAAGAAGATCCAGTTCCACCAGGAGCTGCTAGTTCTCTTCTGGAAGCTCTGTGATTTCAACAAGGTGGGCCAGCCTCGAGGGGGCCCACCTGGTGGGCAGTGGAGATGGGGAGTAGCCAGCCCAGATAGCCCAGAGGTGGGGACGGTGTCTGGGTCTCCCCAGACTGAGGGGAGAGGGTGGGGCAGAGCTGCCTGTCCCTCTGACCCCATCCACCCATCCCCCTCCACCCCCCAGAAATTCCTCTTCTTTGTGCTGAAGAGCAGCGACGTGCTGGACATCCTGGTTCCCATACTCTACTTCCTCAACGACGCCCGAGCCGATCAGTGTAAGACCAGGCTGGGGCATGGGGGTGCTGGTGACTTTCCTGGCAGAGGGGTGGGGGTTTGGCCAGTCTGTCTCGCCCCCCAGGAGCTCAGGCCTGGTGCTCTGACCTTCCAGGAGGGGCTTCCTCCAGCCCCCCAGGATGGGCCCCCACCCTGGGCACCCTCCCTCCCTGCCCTTTGTGACCTCTCCCATGCCCCGTGCTGCAGCTCGGGTGGGACTGATGCACATTGGTGTCTTCATCCTGCTGCTTCTGAGCGGGGAGCGGAACTTCGGGGTGCGGCTGAACAAGCCCTACTCAGTGCGCGTGCCCATGGACGTCCCGGTCTTCACGGGCACCCACGCCGACCTGCTTATTGTGGTGAGTGGGCTCGCCCTGCCAGGCCCTGGGGGCTGTGGGGGGGCGACATCTCGGCTGAGTCTGGAGGTGGCGGGGACCCCACGGCGGCCTGTCGCCCTCCCCGCACAGGTGTTCCACAGGATCGTCACCAGCGGGCACCAGCGCCTGCAGCCGCTCTTTGACTGTCTGCTCACCATCGTGGTCAACGGTAGGGGCCGCGGCCCGCCTTCCCCGCACTCACCAGCAGGGGGCGCCAGCGCCCCGCGCCCGCTCCCGGCCCGAACCTGCTCGGTCCGGAAGTGCAGGGCCAGCCACGTGTGCGCCCTTAGGTCTTCCAGCAGCCGCATCAAACAAAACAAAGCAATCAAACAAAAACACCCAGAAGGCTGGCCCGTGGCTCACTCGGTAGAGTGCGGTGCTGATAACACCATAGGCCACGGGTTCGGATCCTATATAGGGATGGCCGGTTTGCTCACTGGCTGAGCGTGGTGCTGACAACACCAGGCCAAGGGTTGAGATCCCCTTACCGGTCATCCTTAAAAAAAAAAAAAAAAAAAAAAAACACCCAGGAAGAATGGGTGACAAAAATTTATAATACATTTGATCTAATCCACTGTATCCAAAATACTATCATCTCAACATGTAGCCAATATAGGAATTATTATTTTTTTCTTTTTTTGGCAGCTGGCTGGTATGGGGATCCAAACCCTTGACCTTGGTGTTATCAGCACCAGGCTCTCCCAAGTGAAGTAACTGGCCATCCCTAAAAATTATTAATGAGATATTTTATGCTCTTTTTTCACACCCAGTCTTCAAAATCTTGTCTGTGTTTCATGCACGCAGCACATTCCAGTTAGGAGTAGCTGTGTTTGCAGCACTTGATGGCCACATTTGGCTGTGGCTACTGTACGGGACAGCGCAGGTTTGGATAAGTGGAGTCACATGGTGTGGGGATGTCAAAGCCACCTCCCTTCTGTCTTTGCCTTGCTCACCAGCGAGGGCGACAGACAGCTGCCTGGAAGAGGGGGCAGAGGGCTCAGCCTGGCCAGGGTTGGGTCCAGCAAGATGGGTGGCCATGGTCAGGGGCAGAATGAGTTCAGTGTGGATCCTTTTTGGAGAGGATCATTGTGGCTGTGGACTTGGCCTCTAAGGGCCTGGTCTTCCTGGCTTTGCAGGGGACATCACAAGCAGGGGGCAGGAGGGATGGGGATGTTCTTCTGCCTAGGCCCGGGATGTGCAGGGATGGCTGGTGGGGGCCTGGGAGTGAGCCAGCCCCTCCCCTGCAGTGTCTCCTTACCTCAAGAGCCTGTCCATGGTGACTGCCAACAAGCTGCTGCACTTGCTGGAGGCCTTCTCCACCACCTGGTTCCTCTTCTCCTCCGCCCAGAACCACCACCTGGTCTTCTTCCTCCTGGAGGTCTTCAACAACATCATCCAGTACCAGTTTGACGGTTAGGCACCAACCCAAGCTCCTGGCCTGGCCTCGGGGGCAGGGATCAGGGTAGCCAGCGGGTGAGGGCACCTTCCCATCTAAGGAGGGCATAGTCCAGAAGCCGGCCTCCAGGGAGGTGCTGGCCACCTGGCCTTCCGCTCCCCAGTTCCAGAAAGCATTTGCATCGTCCCCTGAGGGCTGTGGGGATTCAGTAGGGGGTGACTGTGGACAGGCACATGCCATGCTGTCCTCCTGGACGCCTCCCTGGCGACCTGGCTCAGGGAGAGCATCAGAATATTTAACAGCTGATTTGGTGTGGACACTGTCAAGTGGGGACCCGCCCCACTTGACCAGGTGTTATCCCTTTAGTGCTGGCTTGTGACAAGGTCTCGAAGGTACTGGGAGAGGGGTGTGCAGGAGCTCAGGTCAGAGCTGCCTTCCAACAGCTATCCTGGTATAGCTACAGCTGGTGCACCCTTGGGGAAGACCCCTCCTGCCCTGAGGTGAGGCATGCTCCCTCCCCTCAGGCAACTCCAACCTGGTCTACGCCATCATCCGCAAGCGCAGCGTCTTCCACCAGCTGGCCAACCTGCCCACCGACCCACCCACCATCCACAAGGCCCTGCAGCGGCGCCGGCGGGCACCCGAGCCCTTGTCCCGCACCGGATCGCAGGACAGTGCCTCCATGGAGGGCTCCCGCCCTGCCGCCCCTGCAGAGCCTGGCACCCTCAAGACCAGCCTGGTGGCCACCCCAGGTCTGGCGCTCGTGGGTGGGAGGGGCTGTGGATACTGGCGTGCTTGGGGGATGGACATAGTATAGGGGTGTCCCCTCTCTCTGGCAATGGGCATGGCCTGGATGGGCAGCAGGGGTGCGGGTAGGGGTATTAGGTGGGCCCAAGAAAGGCAATTTGGTGAGGGGACAGGGCCTTGGGCTGGGTGTGAGCTCTGGGAGGGGTGGGAGTGTCAGGGGATCAGACACAGTGCATCTAAAGTCGGGGAGGAAAGAGGGAGGCTTATGGGGTCCAGGCTGGAAGGGGCACTGTGGTAGGGGTCCTGTCTCCTACCTGTGCCCCCCCAGGCATTGACAAGCTGACGGAGAAGTCCCAGGTATCAGAAGATGGCACCTTGCGGTCCCTGGAGCCTGAGCCCCAGCAGAGCTCAGCAGATGGCAGCCCGGCTGAGGGGGTGGGTGACAGGGACTCCTGGAGTGGCATGAGGCTGGGCCTTCCCTTCCTTCCTGCCCTCTGTGGAGCAGAGGGGCAGGCTCCCAGCGCCCAGGGCACAAGGGTTGGCACTGCTGACTCTCTGGGGGAGCAGAGGGGCCCTTCCAGAGACCCCTCCCTTGTTTACGGGTGTGTCGGCCTTCACACACCTCATCCCTCAGCCTTATCTGAGCCTGGCCTTTACCCGGCTTGCCTTGATGCCCCTGGCCCTAAACCTGTCACCGGGCTTGGCTTGGCTGGGGCCCGGGGCAAAGGGTGCTGGGCTGGGCCTTCCCCTCTGTTGGAAGCGAGCACCCCTCGAGGGCGGGCAGTGGAGAGACCTCATTGCCTGCTGCCCCCACCCCAGGCCCACTCCCTCCACCCCTCACTTCTACTCCTTCCTGGTGACCAGGAGCCCAGCCGGGCGTGGAGGGAGCAGCGGCGACTGTCCAGCGCGTCCGCCAGTGGACAGTGGAGCCCAACGCCAGAGTGGGTGAGGGACCCCACACTGGAGGAGCTGGGGTTTGGGCAGATGCACTGAGGTGGGGCTGGGTCAGGGGCTCCCTGGCCCTAGGAACAGCTCCGATAAGACTCGGATGGGAATGTGCCCAAATCAATGGACTCTGTCGTGGGGCGGTGACCTTCTCACGTGTTTGGCCTCTCTCTGGCTGGGTTGCTTCCTCTGTCTACACTGTCTGCCAGAATTCCCCAGCAGGCTTAGGCTCCAGTTGTCCACAGTGTTAACTTCCTTAATCAATTAACTTTTCCAACTCCCTTCCCTGAACTGTGTCCCCATTCCCTATGTATTTCCTGAGGTCACCACTCACGGCATTGGAATGGGGATAATAAATGTGCCCTTGCAAGGGTTTCAGTATCCTGAAAAGCACGTGGACTGCATCAGGACGGCAGTGCATGCTCAACGCAGGGCTGCAGCTCTGAACACTAATAACAGTTGCTGTTCACGGGCCTTGCTTGGGGCCAGGCTCTTGTAGCAGGGAGCCCATGGTTCTGGGTCAGGGTCATGCCTGTCCCATAGCCTCTGGGGGCTGCTATCCCAGCCCCAGGAACCCTGGCCCTCCCCCAGGTCCTCTCCTGGAAGTCAAAGCTGCCCCTGCAGACTATCATGAGGCTGCTGCAGGTGCTGGTTCCCCAGGTAGAGAAGATCTGCATCGACAAGTGAGTCCGAGGCTGGCTCGGGGGTTAGGGGAATGTGGGGAAGGCTTGGGTGGAGGGTGATGGGGAGCATGGGCCTCAGGGGCCTTGGGGGAGCATGCAGGAGCCCCTCCCTCTCTCCTGGTAGGGGCCTGACCGATGAGTCTGAGATCCTGCGGTTCCTGCAGCACGGCACCCTGGTGGGGCTGCTGCCTGTGCCCCACCCCATCCTCATCCGCAAGTACCAGGCCAACTCGGGCACGGCCATGTGGTTCCGCACCTACATGTGGGGCGTCATCTATCTGAGGTGGGCCCCATGGGGGGGAAAGCAGTTGCCATCCTGGGTGGGTCTGGTGTCTACCTTATGGCTGCCCAGCAGGGCTCAATGGGGACCTCAGCTCTGGGTCCCATTAGCCCCATCTGTAGTGAGGTTAATGTCAAGATGGTCAACCAAGGTGGTCTTGTCCAGTTGAGGGTGGGCACCCACTGCCCATGGTGGGACATCAGGATGGAAGGGCTTGGTTTGGGCTTCACTGCCACTAGTGCCTGGGTGACAGCCACTCCCTCTGCAGGAATGTGGACCCACCTGTCTGGTATGACACTGATGTGAAGCTGTTTGAGATCCAGCGGGTGTGAGGATGGAAGTCTGCAAGGGGCTGGATCCAGGGCAGGGTGGGGCCCTGGTCCCTCAATGCTTCCCCAACACACCCACCATTCTGAGCTTTAAGTAACCACGATCAGGGCCTGGGGCAGGCAGAGTGGCCGAGTCCTGAGTGGCAGGCCCCAGAGGCCCCTCGTGGTTGTGGACAATGGGACCAACTCTGACCCCCCAGGCTGGACTCACAGGAGCTACAGGCCCCGCCAGAGTCCCCCCCACTCTGGCTCCACCTTCAAGACCTGTTTCTGTCCTGTCCACCCCCAGAAGCCACCAGGTCACTGTGCCCTAATGGGTTTGCCCGAGAAGGAGCCAACGGCTGTCCCTTGAGGCACCTGGGCAGGGGGAGGGTGTCCTCCCAGCCTCTTGATCTGAAACCACCTGTTCCAGGCCCCACCAGGGCCCACAGGAGAAAGGGTGTGGCCAGGCAGCTGGCTGAGGAGGCTGGGGGAGCTCATGTATTTTAGGGGTTTGGGGTGGGGTATTGAGGCTCTCTCCTGTATTCTCCTGGTCAATGGGTATAGTCTGGCTCCTCTCACTCAATACTGGGGGAAGGGAACACCTGGATGGTGGGGGAGGGGGAGGCTACCCCTCCATCCTTCCCACCTCTGGCCTCTGGGTCTCCCTTACCCACTGTCAGTACAATCTTTGCTCTGTACAATCAGCCTCTTTACACAATAAAACCTCCCTCTGCACACTGTCTCTCTGTGCTGGGAGGGGAGGGGGCCAGGCTGTGGCTCTTGTCTTCAGGGGAGCTGCAGACTCTGCACCCCCAAGTCAGTCCCCAGAGGGTCCTCAACACATGACTGGGAACTGGCATTTGTCATTTTCTTGGGTGGGGAAGCGGGATTGGGCCCTCTCACCTACAGTTTGGGCCCCTGGCTTGTGGCCACCCAGAAAGAAAGGCCTGGCTCTCAGCCCCTGTGCAGCCTCCAGGGGCTCTGCTACCCCAGGCAGCCACTGAGACAGTGTTGTGGGGGTGTGGGGTGGCGCCTTGTGCTTGCCAGTGCTTCTTCATGGGAGGGGTGTCCAGAGGAGGGCAGCCTCCCCCACCTGGCCAGGGCTGTCCTCCCTGGGCCTCCCCAGGGCCCAGTCTGCTGTTTGCATTGGGCTCAGGGAGGTGGGTGGGCTGCTGGTGCTTGCCTTTTCTCTTCCCTTCCTGTTCCACCCGATGGCTCAGAGGATCAGGCAGGCCTGGGAATGGAGCAGCCAGAGGCCACAGCCCTCATGGTAAGCCAGCTGCAGAAAGTCACATGGGGCTCTGTCCCAAGGAGAGGCTGTGCTGGCGAGGGGTGGGGCTGGGGTATACATGAGCTCCAGCCCATCTCTTCCCACTCCTCTTGTGGACCAGACAAGGGAAGGACTTAGACCCCTCCTGGCCCAGGAACAGGACTGTCCCAGCCCTACAGCCCTGCCCATGAGGACTGTCTCTTCCCACCATACCTGGAGTGGTAGCTCTGTCTCTGGGAACAAATACCACAAAGCCCAAATGAAATCGATCAAACAAACAAATGGGGTTTATGGCAGCAGGAGAGGGCTGTTGAGCCCTGCCTGGCAGCTAATTAATGAGCTCATTAGGAGACAGGGGCTGCAGGGAAGGAGAGGCAGGGCTGCCTGCTGAGCTCTGAGCTCCAAGCTCTGAGCTTCCAGAATGTCTTGGGCCAAGCTTGACAATGCGCCCTTTCCATGGCAGGAAGCGGGCCCCTGAGGCCTGGCTGGGTGGGGGTGGGATCCTCTCCAAACTCCCAGACTCAGTTGTTCAGGTCTAACCCTTCCAGACAGTAGCTGTTAGGGGCTCCCCACCAGCTTCCTAGGGTGCACCCTTGGCTGCACTGATTCCAGTGGCAAGGCAGGGGGCAGGCATGTCCCCAGGCATGGGTATGGGCCTCAGAATCTCAGTGTTCAGGCCCCTGCCCTTGATCTTGGGCTGCGGGCAGTGCCCCCCACCTCAATGAGGCTCTGGGGAGGGGGAGGCTTTGGGAAACCAGGGCTGGTCTCTGGATCTCCTGGAATAAAGCATCTGCTCAGAGACTCTGGGCTGCCTTTTCCCCTGCCTTGGTACTTCAGGGTTCTGCTGGGGTGGGTTCCCTAGGCAGCCTCAGGCTCCCAAGTAGACCTCCACCAGTCCCCCCACAGAGTGCATGCGGTAGAAGACCCCCAGAGGCAGGCCAAGGTTGACAATGGTGAACCACGTCCGGTAGCCGTAGAAATCCTTTTCCAGCCCATTCTCAAACTCCGGGTGTATGCCAAATGCGTGCATCATCCAGAGCTGGGGACATGAGAGGAAGGTGTTGGGGACAGGGGCTCAGCTCTGGGTGGGCAGGCCCCGGAAGCCACAGCTCCTCCAGCACTGCCCCACCCTGTCATCTTCCCCATCATCCCTTAACCCTTGGGCTTTCCTCCCCCATACCACAGAAGGCCCCAGCCTCCTTGGCTTGCCTGGGGCCAGCCTGAACTCCAGATGTTTCATAGACCCCAGGCTGCCCCCGCACATGGTATGCAGCAGGAATTCCCAGCGTGCACCTGCTCTGTACAGCTGGGTGCCCTTGTGCCCTGAGCTCAGGCTTCACTCGCTTGGGCTTTCCTCCCCCATACCACAGAAGGCCCCAGCCTCCTTGGCTTGCCTGGGGCCAGCTTGAACTCCAGATGTTTCATAGACCCCAGGCTGCCCCCGCACATGGTATGCAGCAGGAATTCCCAGCATGCACCTACTCTGTACAGCTGGGTGCCCTTGTGCCCTGAGCTCAGGCTTCACTCGTCCGCTAGTTAGGATTACCTCCCCCCACCCCTCACCCTCCCGCCTTCCCGTCCAAATTCTACCCCTTCCTCAAGGCCCACATCAAACCTTCACGAAGCCTTCCTTTGGCCACTCAGGCCCACACTTCCTTCACTGATCTCCTAATGTATTTTAGAGCCAATTTATTACTTATTCTCTGCCTGGGCCAGAGGTTTCCCATTTGGGGTGTGTTTTTGGTGCATTAGGGATTTGATGTCAAACACCCTGAGTTGTCCCAGCACTGCTACTTACAGGCTGTGGGACCTTGGGCAGGATAAACAACCTAGGCCTCAGTTTCCTCATCTGTCAAATAGGACCAGTAATAGCGCCTGCTGCATACGGTTACTGTGATGATTCAAGGAGGTGCAGAGATATTGCATGGAGAGGTGGACCTGGGACTTAGCAGCCACCAGAAGCTGGGCAATCATTGTCAACATCTTCTGTTAGGGAGCCCTTAGAAAATCAGGCACTTTCTGATCTCTTCCTTTGTCTGAATTCATTCACTGGATGATGAATTCAGTGGTAATTCTCTAACTGGTCCCCCAGTGTCTTTCGAGCTAGGCAGTAAGCTTCTGGAGAGTGGAAATCTGACATGTTTGTTCGTAAGGAGCACTTATCTATGTGCTTGGAGCATAGATTCATGCCGGGCACCTTGCAGGGAGCTGGGGCGGGGGGCACTCCCTGTTCTCAAGCAGCGTCAAGCTAGTTGGTAAGAGGCATGTGTCCTTGATCCATCCCCTCCTGAGTGAGGCTTTTTGAGGTGGCCTAGCCAGCACCCCTCCCCACACCTCCCGGCCCAGCCACTCACTGTGATATTGCAGAGGATGAGGAAGAGGGCGATCTCCTTGAGCCCCCGCCGCTTCCAGTTGAGACGGCTGTAGGACTGGATGTAGGCCAGCGAGGCCCGCTGCAGGCCGTGGCCCAGCTCCAGCAGGGAGCCCCTGTGGGGAGGCGTGGCCTCCTGCTTCTCCGCCACGTCCTGGGGAGCTGCCTCCCAGAGCGGGCGTCGATGCAGGCCCTCAATGATGAAGAGGTTCTGGGCAATGTGCTGCAGAATAAGCAGCAGTGAGTAGGCCAGCATCAGGTGGTTGAGCTGCTCGTGTGGGCGGGTGGCCACGATGGCCACGATGGAGAAGTAGGAGATACCAATCTGCCCCAGGGCGGCGCCCATCAGCAGCACCACATCCAGGCTGCGGGTGGGGTTCTTGACTGTGTCCAGCTCACGCTCCTCCAGCCCATGGATGGCTGTGCCCACAAGGCATGCCAGGCTCATGGCAGGCAGCACGGCCACATGGAAAGAGTAGTAGAGGGTGAAGTACTGGTGTGCGATGGCGGGGCCACTTGCCTGGATCTGGAAGAGTACAAAGGTGCACACGCCTGCCACCAGCACCAGCAGGCCCAGCAGCGGCCCAAAGATGGCCCCGTGCAGGCGGAAGGGCAGGGTGGCGGGGTGGGCACCCAGGTGGGGTGTCAGGCGGCGGCCCACGTTCTTCCACATGACAAAGAGCATGGTACAGGAGATGAGGCAGTACTCAGTGCTGAAGGGGTAGAGCATCAGGAAGCCCTTACGGAAGACCTTGCACGCCGTGGCATTGAGACACAGACAGGTGTTGGTCTCCTTGTCTGGGAGGGGGCAGAGCAGAAGGAGACAGACATTCAGGTGGGTCCCTCTCTGAGGAAACCGGCTGCACAAATTACTCCCATTCCCCTCCTGGAACATGCCAGAGGTGGAAGGGACCCAGCCAGCTGCTTATTTTACAAAGGTGGAAACTGAGGCCCAGACATAGAAATCAGAAATCACAGGTTGGTAATTCTTTTTTGAGGGATTCAAGACATTTACAACATGCTGTCTCTAGTGCCTAATGTCACCTGCACAAATTACTTCTGGAGAATAAGGGCAAAACTGTAACCTTACAGTGGGGGATCTGGCTGCTAGCTCTGAACCCAGCAGCACCACCTGGGAAATGCTGGTGCCCAAATGCCTACTCTGGATCTAATTAAGACTTTAGAACATACTTCCAGTTTCTAGGAAAAGCAGGGGAGAGGAGGACAAGTCAAATGCCACCACTAAGAAGCAACCTGCCACATTTTAATGTCATTTGGAAAAAAGAGACTTAAGAGGCTTAACAACCAAATGCATGGTGTGTTTGAACAAATCATTTGTAAAAGTCATTTCATGGGCTAATTGGAGAAAGTAGAATATAGATTGATATAGACGATGGGATGATGTTAAAGAATTTTATTAGCAATTATAATAGTATTGTGCTAATGTAGGGAAATACACCTGTTTTTATTTTTCATTTTTATTTTTATTATTATTATTATTATTATTATTTTTTTTTTTTAAAAAGATGACTGGTAAGGGGATCTTAACCCTTGACTTGGTGTTGTCCCCACCACGCTCAGCCAGTGAGCGAACCGGCCATCCCTATATGGGATCCGAACCCGGGGCCTTGGTGTTATCAGCACCACACTCCCCCGAGGGAGCCACGGGCCGGCCCATTATTATTATTTTTTAAAAGATGACTGGTAAGGGGACCTTAACCCTTGGCTTGGTGTTGTCAGCACCACGCTCTCTGACTCTACCAAGTGAGCCACAGGCCGGCCCCCTTACACCTATTTTTAAAGAGATGCATACTGAGGTGTTTTGAGATGAAATACCATGATTTCTGTAATTTACTTTATGTACTTCAGCAAAAGAAAAAAAAAAAACCTATGGCAAATGTTAATAATTATTACATCTAGTTGACGGGTGTATCCTGTTCTCATCTGTATGTTTGAATTGGGGGGTGGTTTTGGTGGCTGGTGGGTATGCGGATCTGAACCCTTGACCTTGGTTTCATAACACCCCACTCCAACCAATGAATTTTTTATAATCAAAAAGTCCATGATGTTTCTTGCCCCCAAATTCTCTTTGCACAGCTTTTCTGAAAAATGTAAACAGAATATAAAGAGTGCCACAGTGCACAGGTGTGCCATGATTTATGCAATGGGGGTGTACATGCAGAGTGTGCTGGGGGCGCTTGGCTGCATGCAGGTCATGATGGTGATGACACTTGGGGGGCTGGGGGTTGTATACACACAGGTGTGGCTGAATCCCACGGACAGCAATGTTCCCACATAGGTTTAAGGGATACAGCCTCCAAGAGGCAGACTGTACAGTTGGGGATTGAGCACATCAGACAACCCTGGGAGTTTTTCTGCTTGGGGGGCTGGGGGTTGTATACACACAGGTGTGGCTGAATCCCACGGACAGCAATGTTCCCACAGAGGTTTAAGGGATACAGCCTCCAAGAGGCAGACTGTACAGTTGGGGATTGAGCACATCAGACAACCCTGGGAGTTTTTCTGCTTAATCTTCTGTCCCTCCTTACATGTCAGGGTACCTAAGATTGTATTAGAAAGATATTCCTTTCAGCCCTGAAGGCTCTTTAATTCCTCACAAGTAAAACACAAATACCATGAATGGGGTGCATACCTGAAGGACCTATCAGTGACTACCTCAGCCAGGATTAGTGGCCAGCTTGCTGATGGCCAGATGGGGGCCTGGAGTGTGGTCGCAGGTACGGTCACCTGATGGCACAGGATGGCTACCACTGGCAAACTTCAGTGTTCTGTTTAATCATGTTCTGGCCTCTAGAGTTTGCTTCCAACTCTATAGACGCACTGAGTCTCACCTGTTTGAGGGAATGTAGTGTACTGTGTGTGTGTTTGGGAGGAAGGAAGTTCTGGTCTCCTCTCTGTACCTGAGAAATTTTCCACAAGGGCGCCGAGCTCAGCCTCGATCTCTTCGTGCATGGAATCATTGCTGATGGCCAGAACCCATAGCAGCATGTTTGTGGCCAGGGTCAGCATCAGTCCACACCTGGAGGAAGTGCCACTCTCTGCTCACACAGCCTGGCCAGCTCCCAGGGTGCCCGGCCGGCTCCCCGACCCTCCCAGCAATGGCTGTTGGGGTGACCACTCACTTCCGACGCCAGACCCCATCTGGCTTTAGGTTTTTAGGAGAGGCAGCCCTAGGAGCCACCAGGGATGCATCCTAGACTAACCCATAGCCCCAGGGCCACTTGATCCAGGGAAGCTGTGGGGGGAACAGAGAGCCCAGGAGGATCTGTAGGGGGAGAGGAGGTCTTACCTAGTGAAGTTGGTCTGGACCTGAACACAGTCCTTACAGTGTCTCTGGAGCACCCAGGTCTGAAAGAGACAGGGCCTTGAGCCCAGGGGCTGGTCTGGGGGTGGTGGGATCATGGCTTGTGTGGCCCAGTTGCTTGTGTGTGTTTATGATGGAACTCATAGTGAGGAAGCCTGGGTCACAATCCTGGGTTTGAAGCCAGTGGCAAAACATCTCTGAGCCTTAGTCACCTCAGCTCTGAGAAGGGGCCAAAATGCCCACGCTTGGGGAAATGCCTACTTGTTGGGAGAAATAAAGAAGGAGATGGAGGGCTGGCCAGGTAGCTCAGTTGGTTAGAGTGCAGTGTTATAACACCAAGGTTAGGGGTTCAGATCCCATACTGGCCAGCTGCCAAAAAAAAAATTTAAAAGTAGGTGATGTAAATGCAACATCCAGCACGATGGCTGGTGCATAACAGAAGCTCACGAAAGAGTCAGATATTCCTATCGTTAGAGGAGGCTTGTGTATCTGGGAGTGTATATTTAGGTACATGCAGTATGTGCAGGCAGATGTATGTACAGGTGAGTGGACGCAGGCATGTGCAGGTATGTGTGGATGTGGGCATTTGTGCAGGGGGCTGAGCTATGTGTGGGGCAGGTGGGAATCTGGGGCTGTTTATGGGTATAGGTAGGAGCGTGTATATGCGCATGCAGCATGGGTAGGTGTGGTGTGTCCCGGTAGCATGGGGAGGGGAAAGGCCTGTCACCTGGATGCCGATGAAGACCATCTCAATGGCAGGGAAGACAAGCTCGATCTGCAGCTTGCAGCGGCTGTAGCTCATGCTGTAGCCCATGCGGAAGACGTTAAGGCAGATGAAGCAACTGCCAAAAAGCACGAGGGAGCCTGGCCAGGCCAGGCGGGTGTTGGCACCTCCCCCAGAGCCGGCCCTCCCTCCCCATCCCTCTCCATCCCCCCAGCACCCAACACTCACCCCGCACCCAAATGGGTCCTGCATGAGGGTCCCGATGGAGCACGGCCTGTGGCTGGCGGGTGGTGCCGGCTACGTAGTAGAGGAGCCAGAGCAGGGAGAGGACCTTCAGCACGGCCAGCAGGATCCACACGTCACCCGGAGTGACGGCCACCTTGTTGAAAATCATGCTGCAGATGAAGGCCCCGCCCAGGAACAACACATTAAGGGCCAGGAGCCCTGAGAAGAGCTGCCCGGCCTTCTGGGCCTGCCAGTCCCGCCGCAGCAGCAGAGAGACATGCCGCACCAGCCAGGACTTCTGCTGAGGAGGGGCTAGAGCCCCTGTCTCCTCGGCCTCTGTGTCCACTTGATTCTCCTTGTCCAGGGCTGCCTCAGTCTCCTGTGCTTCTGGAGAGGGCATGGGTGGAGCCTCAGCAGGGACTGCAGATGGAGAAAGGGTCCTGGGTTGGCTTCCGGGGTGTCCCCAGTTCAGTTCCATCCCTGCGCCTAACCGCTGTGTGACCTGGGGCGAGCTATGTGACCTCTGGTCAAGGCATCGGAAATAATGGCAGCTGCCCAGTTTATCTTACAGCACCTGAGGGGGTTCACATGGGCCAGGAGATACAGAAATGTGTTGTGCTGCACATAAACACGAGGAATTATTTTGACTGGCTAGAGGGCCACCTGTCCCACCTCACCCTCAGCTGGGTCACCTCCCTTCCTGACTCAGTGCCTGGTCCTAAGGTGGGATAATAATGTTTGTCAAGGGAGCCAGGGGCATCTGCATAGTGCCAGCCACTGTGCAGTTTCCAGGGCTGTGACTTTTTACCAACAAAGGCAGCTTGTGCCCTGTCCTGCTGACTTCTGGGAGGACTCTCACTCCTGAGATCAGGGAGGACAAGTAGGTGTCCTCTCTTATTCTGATTCTGATGAGATGGATGATAATTGCCTAGAGAGTTGTGTTGAGAAGGATCCTGAGGCTGAGTCTGGGCTTGGTGAGAGAGAATGCTGTGATCTAAAACAATAATCTATTATGGGTAATATGGGTGTATATAAAATTACTTTAAAAAAGACTAGAAGACACCCTCTAGGTTCACAATAGGAATCTCCTGGGAAAGGGATGAGGGTACTAGGATCGGAAGTGGGTAGACTTTTCTTCAGCTTTAATGCTGTAGCTTTGAAAAAAAATTAACACATTACTTATGCAATGATTATTCATTTTATAGCATTTAAGGTTTTGGGCAAAAGTTCTGGGATTGATTTGCACTGTTTTCCAAGATCATGGGACAGGTGGGGTTCAGCACAAATGGCATGCCCTTAAGGGACTTTGACTAAATGACTTCCACCTGCACCCCTCACCCCACTCCCAGATGTCCCATGAGTGCCCAGCATGCAATGGGAACACTAGTCTGGACCCTTCTCTTTCCCTGAATGTCTCCTGTCACCTTCTCACCTCCCCCAAGCTGTCACTCAGGGTAACCACTTTGTCACCACTTGCTCGGACCAGGTCGTAGGCCACCCAATATCTTCAGCTCCAAGTCCAGCATATATACTTTGGACCCCTTTGGGTGCTCCTCCTCCCCAGTGGGATGGCTCAGCTGTTTCTGGGTGCTCTCTGGGCAGGGAGGCTCCCTTGAGACCCCTGGCCACCCAGGCACTCTTCCCCAGTCCCACCACTGCTCTTGTGCTCTGGGCTCAGGGTTCTAAGTGCTCACCACCCCCATTCTCCTGCTTCCTAGTGTTCACTCTCTCAGAATGGAATCTCCATCTTCGCTTCTCCTAGCAGAGAACTGGGCGTCCTCCTCGCCTCTTCCCTTTCCCCTGGCATCCCCTCTGGCCTCAAGCTTGTTTGTTCCAGCTCACAATTGCACTTAGATTTTTATTGACCCCGATTACTACCCTAGTCTGGAGCCCCCCTCCTCTCTCCTGGACTGGTCTCCCTCCTACAGTGCCTCTCCCCTACTGAGAGCCCTGCAAAGGCAGCCAATTGCCCTCAGTATAAAGTCCAAACTACCCAGCACAGCCTGCACAGCCTTTCAAAATGAAATGAGACAGTGTATGTTTAGTATGGGCCTGGTGCACACAGGGCTCAAGGCAGGGTAGCTGCTGCTGCTTCCTGGTCTGTCTTCAACTTACCTCTTCAGCATTGTTTTCAGGCTCCACTCCCCTTCCCGTGGGCTGTGCCACCCTGCTGCAGTTCCTAGAATGCCCCATCTTTGCCCATGCCCCTCCCTTTGCCTGTGATGCCCACCCCTCCTGCCCCTTGGCTGACTCCAGCTTGTCCTTCAGGACTCAGCAGAGAGCCCACCCCCTCTATGTGGCCTTCCCTGGCCCACAAGCCATGGCTGAGTGAGGTGCTGCCTCTCGGTGCTCCCCCTCAGTGCTCTCCCCACACTTCATGCTGATTGCTGGCCCCTCACCCATCATGAGGGACTCTGTTTTGATCTGCTCTGCTTTGCTTTGTCTCTCCCTCAAGACCTGACCCTGAGCTTTAGAAGCTTCAGACTTTTCCCCATGCAACAACCAGAAGATCCTCACCACATCGGGCTCAAAGATGCAGCCTCTCTGGGCTCCTGATCTCCCATGTGCAACCTGCTCAATATTTATACCTTCTGCTGTTCTCTTCTGGGGCACACGGGGTACCAACACTTGGACCTCTTTTCAAGATTTTACAAATGATTTTCTCCCCTTTTCCAGTCCACCCTGTCATCCCTGCTCAAGTTCTGTCCCTTCCCTGTCCAGCCCCCTTGACACACTCCGGGCATCTGCCCCACACGTCCACCCAGACCCAGGTGGAGGGCTCCGTGTTTCTCCTGTGGTCTCCACCTCCTGCCATCCCTCTTAGGGCCTGCTGTTTCTTCTGCCACACCAGTGGCTCTTGCCCATCCTCACCACCCACATGGGGAGTCTTCCCCCTCTGCCTAAGTGTGCTGGTGGCTAATTTGCTGGGCCTGCTCCTCTCTGTTGAGAGTGTTCACTGTCCAGATGCTGTGGGTATGGCTGGCTCCCTTCAGGGCCAGGAATTCCTCCAGGGTGGAGATCAGGCTCTGCTTAACTCCAACCCCCCAAACCTACCACAGGCATCGCACTCCCAGCGTTTGCCCACTGACTCTGGCAGTTTCTGGGGAGCTTTCAGCACCAGAGCCGTGGACTGAGACCCTTCCCATCAAACCCTTTCCATCCTGGCCCAGCAGAGACTTTCCAGCCGATCTTTACCTTTTCCTCCCAGGCCCCCCACCCAGGTTGAGCAAGGCTGAGGCTTACAGGGATGCCTCCCGGCTACTTTTCTCCCAACCCTGACTGCCCCACCTTGATGTCCCCAGAACCCGTACCCTCCACGCCCAGGCAGGATAGTCTAGTGGTTAAGAACCCAGACTCTGGCACTTACTGCCTCTGTGACCTTGGACAAGCTACCTAGACTCTCTGTGCCTCAGTGTCCTCATATGTAAAATGGAAATACAACTATGGAACAGTTCCTGGTGCATAGTAGATGCTCGATAAAGATTTCTTGAACGAATAGATGAAGGAATTAATTCGTAATACCTACGTCCTAGGGGTTTTGTCAGAATCAAATGATTTAATACATGCAAGTGCTTGCAGAAGAGTGTCTGGCACACGGAAAGCTCTCAGTGTTAGCTGCCTGTGCATTTCCTTCCAGTTCTTTTGAAGTCCTGGGAAGGCCGGAAGGGTCAGGTCAGGATTACTGGTGAATTTCACGGGGTTTTTTTACTGGCACTGCAGACCTAGAGGGGACACTGGGGGATGAGGTTCTAGGTACTCTCCCTCTGGCCTACTCGACCTGACAATCTCCCTCGCCTCCCATTCCCAGGGCCCGAACCCTCCAAAGGGGTGAATTTGGTTCACTGCTGGGAAGGATGTGGGAGCGGGCACTTCGGGGTCTCGGGAAGACGGCGTGGGCAAAGGCTCCTGGAACTGACAAGGAGGAGTCCATCATCCCCTGTCACTCCCCTCGGCGCGACGCCGGTCCGAGGGAGGGCCCGGACACCAAACTGGTTTGTGGATCGTGGTTAGAGGCGGGTGGTGAAAACTGCGGAGCCGTCGGGGCGCGGCGCCGGGCCAGGAGCGCACGGGCCGCTCCGGAGAAGGCTGCTGAGCGTGGGCCGGGCAGCCTCGAGGTTTCCTCCAGAGTCACCTTAGGACTGCAGGGCGGGGGACAGCCGCCGCGTGCGTGCCCCCGACCGCGCGTCCAGGCAGCCCCGACCCCACACCCCTTTAACCAGCCGTCTGGGTTTCTCCCCGCTTCCCGGCCTCGCGGCCCTGCTGGCTGCTCCACGACCCGACCGGCCCGGGAGGAGCGCGCCCTGCTGACCTCTGTGCGCCCCCCATCTGCGGAGAGGCGGCGGCGAGCAGAGCCGGGGTGGTGTCGGGGGCAGAGAGAGGCCAGCCTAGGCTCTAAAGGAGTCGACCTTCCCCAGTCACCCCGCCTTCCCACCCCAATTTCCGCAGCCCCTAGCTCCTGACCCCCGCTTTGTGGTGGAGTGTGCGTGGGTGTCGGGGGTGGCCTTTCCCGGAATGTCACCGGCGGCCCGAGGGCACTCCCGGCCCTAGCTGCGGCTCGAACTCCGGGGAGCCTTACCTGAGGTCTGGGCAGGCATCCCGCCAGCTAACCACGGACCGTGGGCTCCTGCGCCCCGACCGGTGCCCCCGACGCCCTCCCCCTGCGGGACTGCGCAGCCACCGCTCAGGCTCCGCGGCCCATCGATTTTTCTGTTGACTTTGGAAATCTCATTAATCCCTCGTTAATTACCCCTCCAAGGGCTCGGTCCAGACGGTGCCGCCAATTGCGAGGCGGCTGGACGGGTGGGCGGGGCCGGAGGCGGTGCAGGCGCGGGGGCCCCAGGGTCGGGGACAGACGGGGGGCCCAGCGCGGGGACTGGGTACGACGTCCTTAGGTCCCCAGTAAAGGGCTTGCGGAGTTCAGGCCACATTTTGTCTGGCGGCCACACTGGGAATGGATCCCCACCTCCCAGGCCTAGGGTCGCCTTTTCCTGCACCCTTCCTAGCACTCGCCCGCGCAGGACCCTCTCTCTCTCTTAAGTCAGATGTGAACTTGGGGCAGAAGAGACCTGGTCAGAGCCACGAGGTAGGGGAGGAAGCAGCTCCGCCCCCCAGCCTCTGAAACCCACCCACCTCATTCTGCTGGGGTCCAGGCACACCTTCCTCCATGCTCCGGGTGCTACTATGCTCCCCTATATAGTCCCCTATGCTTCAGGTGCTTCTGTTCCTACACTCCCCTCCAGAATGCCATCTGCTTCCACCCTTGTCCCCACCCCAGTCCCACCCTAGCGCTTCCCCTTTCCCCTGCCTCTGGCTGGCCACCAGCTATTCCTGCTCTTCCAGCCGTGTCGCCTCTTTTCCAGTCTCTCTGACCTGTCTAACCTTCTGTCTCTCTCCCTCCTAAGTCCACCTCTACAACTTTTGTAGCAGAGAAACCCTTGGGCTTTGGAGAGGCCCCTCAGGGACCCCCCAACAAAGAGT